GACTTCTGTTATTTCTAGGCACTTGATTATCCAGTCATGTGGCAGGGAGTTGAATGCCTTCGTGTAATAAATCCAAGCTACATTCAGATTGGTCTTCCTTCTCTTGCAGTTTTCCAAAATCATCTTGTCAATTAGGAGCTGAACATACAGTTGTTCCTTTGCTGTTTGGCAGTTTCTTTTCTGCTCAGGTGGAAAGAGCTTGTTTTCAGCTAGATGCTGTTGGACCAGTTAGCAATCTGAACATTGTTGGTAAGTAGGTAATTGGCCTGTAGTTGCCTGGTGCTGCCCCTTTTGTTGGATCTTTCGATATCAGGTAGGTTTTTCAATTTCACCTCCTTGCAGTATGTTGTTAAACTGCTTGGCAATGAGTGGATGAAGACTAGTCAGATGTTTCAACCAAAAACCATGAAGTTCATTTTCACCTGGCACTGACCAATTCTTGATCTTCCTTGCCCTTTTCTCCACCATTTCTGCTATTATTACAAGTTCTTTCATTTCAGCTTCTTTTTTATTCTTATCCATTTCCTTTATCCAAGCTGCTTTCTTGTTATATTTCTTTGGGTTGTCCCATAAGCTGCACCCAGAATTGTACTGCTTCTTCTTTGTCAAGTATTCACTGGTTCATTGCAGTCTCTCCATTGATGGATTGGTAGAAACATTTCTGATTCAACTGAAATTGGGGATTCTGCCTATATTGTGCAATTCGAGCTTCGTATCAGCTGATCTTCTTGGCAATAGCTGTTATTTGCTGCTTTATTATTTCCAGTACTTCTTCCTTGTTTCTAGGTGATATTTCTTATCAGGTATTCTTTGGTCTTCTTGTTCTTCAGCTTCTTTTCTTTCATTTGTTCTAGCTTGCTAGCATCTGATCTTAGCATGCTGATCTTATTTTCCAACCTGATCTTCCATTTTGGTGGTGCACTGTTTGGCTTTTTTTCTTGAATTTGGTCCTGATCTTAGCATGCTGATCTTATTTTCCAACCTGATCTTCCATTTTGGTGGTGCACTGTTTGGCTTTTTTTCTTGAATTTGGTCCTGATCTTAGCATGCTGATCTTATTTTCCAACCTGATCTTCCATTTTGGTGGTGCACTGTTTGGCTTTTTTTCTTGAATTTGGTCCTGATCTTAGCATGCTGATCTTATTTTCCAACCTGATCTTCCATTTTGGTGGTGCACTGTTTGGCTTTTTTTCTTGAATTTGGTCTGGAAGCTGGAGCTGGAGCAGAATGCAGTGACCAGGTTCCAATTAGCTGCCAAGCCAGGTTCAAGGTTTCAGTTATGATATTTAAGGACCTAAACAACTTAGCACCAGGATACCTAGAAACAAGGAAGAAGTACTGGAAATAATAAAGCAGCAAATAACAGCTATTGCCAAGAAGATCAGCTGATACGAAGCTCGAATTGCACAATATAGGCAGAATCCCCAATTTCAGTTGAATCAGAAATTTTGCATTCAAGGTATTCAGTTATAAATGCAGCCGTGCTGTACTTTAGTTGGTTTGTTTCTTGCAGTGAGCTGGTGCTTATATTTGATATTACACTATTGGCATCTTTTAATACCTGTGCTAGCTGTATCTTTGTAACAGGTTTCAATGCAGGCAACCATATTCTGTTCTTTTTCTGCTGTTCTAGATGCTCAGTTATTCTTTGTTTTAATTCCACTTGTTTTTTAGTTAGAGGGGTTTGTTTTTTCTGAGGAGAAGGCAGAGGAGAGGGTGCCTGGTTTTGGAATGAAAATGATTCAGTAGCTGTGCTGGCTTCCTCTATTGCTGACTCCCCCTGGTTTGCCTCTGCAGTCTGAGCTACTTCTGGCAAGGCTTCAGTTTCTTTGCCCTGGGTAGACCTTTGCACTTCTTCCAATTCTACTTCTGTGTATACTTTATTTTGTATTACCAGTCAACATGGATCTGCTAGCCTCTGTTCTGTTATTTCTGATTCTGGTGTTGTTCTTTCCAGAACTGGTGCATTTTTTTCAGATATCCTCTTCTTGTTGGACTTGATCTGTAATAGCAGATCATTATTTCTTTGTTTTCAGTCTTA